TGTCAACACTGAGGTTGTAAGTTAAATCTCGCACGTGGTAGGAGAGTTCGATTCCAATCTTAATTGACTAGGACTATCAGTTTTCCTGAAAAAAATTTCAAAAATTTCCGTTTTGATCTACAAAACACGACTGACAATCTAAAAACAGTCATCATAAAAGCACTACAATGCGCTAAAATTACGAAATTTCTGATAAGAGCCTCGTATTTTGAATAATGTACATTGAAATTTATTATTCGTCATTTTATATCGCAAAATAAGTATTTATTTTTTGACACAACTGAAATTTCACCTAATGGTGCAAACGAAATAGCCATTTAAAAAAAAATGGCGCAAATCGAATGCTCCTTAGCAGAAGCGCCCATACAGATTCAATGTTAACACTGTAATTATTCAGAGTTAAAATATGTATCGTTTACGTGTTAAAATAAATATGCGTTTATATTGCATATTATGTTGGGTTTATTTTCATACATTCAACATTTAGTTCATGAAAGAAAAATTTTAGTTAACGGATAAATAAAAAAGCGATGTCAATACACATGCCGTTCTCACAAAATGTTTTACATAATAAAAGTCTATAAATAATTTAATCTGTTTTGTTTGAAAAAAATTCTAAAGCTTTTGTATTTATCTATATCCATTAAAAGTCTCAAGGCATTTCGTGTCTTCGTTTTGCTTATAGTTCGATAGTTTGATACGCCCAATTATTCGTCAGCTTTGGACTGATGTGGGCTTAATTTGAAAACAAAAATCTTGACGGATGTATTTTTCAAGTTGAACCGAATGTTCCAAGTAATAGAAATTTACATATTATTTTATATTGTGCATTTTAAATACATTACATGCAGTACTTTATGGTTTCAGAACGATTTGTTTGAATTTAAAATTTTGAAATGAAAAAGCTAAAAAGCAACGGGCGTAGCATGCGCTCATGGCGAAGCTCTATATTACGAGAGTTAATGGGACCTAAATATTTATTGTTTTGGGAGAATTTTAATAGTGTCACCGTTGAAAGCAACTCTCTGAGACCGTTTTACAGAAAGATCTCATACTTGGTATAGTTGGCCATATTATTCCGTCATTTGATCCAATCATTTTTACGGGAGTTAGGGCACTTAAATATTTATTGGGTTTTTTTTTTTTTAGTATTCTAATAGTGTCACTGTTGAAAGTAACTCCTCTGAGACTATTTGACAGAAAGCTCTCATACTTAGAAGGAATGTTTGTAATCTTATGTAGTTGACCATATTGTGCCGTCATTTTGATTCAACCATTTTTGTCGAGCCTTCGACTTTTGTCGAAAAAGCGAGACATAGCGATCCTACATTCCGTCGGCGTCGTCGTCGTCGTCGTCGTCGGCGGCATCAACAAATATTCACTCTGTGGTTAAAGTTTTTGAAATTTTAATAACTTTCTTAAACTATCCTGGATTTCTACCAAACTTGAAAAGAAGCTTGTTTATGATCGTAAGATAGTATCAAGAAGTAAATTTTGTAAAAAAAAATTCCATTTTTTCCGTATTTTACTTATAAATGGACTTAGTTTTTCTGCCAGGAAACATTACATTCACTCTGTGGTTAAAGTTTTTGAATTTTGATAACTTTCTTAAACTATCCTGGATTTCTACCAAACTTGGAAAGAAGCTTGTTTATGATCGTAAGATTATATTCAAAAGTAAATTTTGTAAAAAAAAATTCCATTTTTTCCGTATTTTACTTATAAATGGACTTAGTTTTTCTGCCAGGAAACATTACATTCACTCTGTGGTTAAAGTTTTTGAATTTTGATAACTTTCTTAAACTATCCTGGATTTCTACCAAACTTGGAAAGAAGCTTGTTTATGATCGTAAGATAGTATCAAGAAGTAAATTTTGTAAAAAAAAAATCCATTTTTTCCGTATTTTACTTATAAATGGACTTAGTTTTTCTGCCAGTTAACAATACATTCACTCTGTGGTTAAAGTTTTTAAAATTTTAACAACTTTCTTAAACTATCCTGGATTTCTACCACACTTGGACAGAAGCTTGTTTATGATCAAAAGCTAGTATCTAGAAGGAAATTTTGATAAAATTTTGTTCCATTTTTTCCGTATTTTACTTATAAATGGACTTAGTTTTTCTGCCAGTTAACATTACATTCACTCTGTGGTTAAAGTTTTTAAAATTTTAACAACTTTCTTAAACTATCCTGGATTTGTACCACACTTGGACAGAAGCTTGTTTATGATCAAAAGCTAGTATCTAGAAGGAAATTTTGATAAAATTTTGTTCCATTTTTTCCATATTTTACTTATAAATGGACTTAGTTTTTCTTCTAGTCAACATTACATACAGTCTGCAGTTTAAGTTTTTAAAACATTTATTAGATTCATAAATTATCCTGGATTTTTACCAAACATGGACAGAAGCTACTTACAATCAAAAGATAGTATAGAGAGGAATATTTTTATTAACTTTTTCCTCATTTTTGTTGAGCCTGCGATTAACAGCAAAAGTAGGCGAGACACTGGGTTCCGCGGAACCCTTACAAATTTTTGTAGGAGTTGTGGGATTTTCCCCATATTTTGACTATCGTACCATAATGACACATTGTGACACATTATTCAATTCCTCATTCATACAGCACGGGGGACATTTGGCTACAGCGTAGCAATCTTCTTAAATATATGGACTTTGTGTCTTTATGAAAATAACCATGTAACATAGTCTTAGTTTTTTTTAATCACCAGTGAGTTGCCATTTATCACATTATGATGATAACTTCGGAAAGTTTTTCTGAAGTCCGTGTGTAGATTGCGACAATTTTAACAAATCATCCGGAAACATTAGACTTCAAACAACATAATTTCCCATTTTAGCGGTTGACAATCGTTTTCTGTTTAAGGGCTGAATGGATAATATTCTTCAAAAATCACAAATAAAGAAGCATTATTTTTTTCACTTTACTGTATGTGACGTATCACCTGATAAATACTTACCATGAACAATACTGCGGTTTCAACTAGTGTTGGAGGAAAGGAATATTGAAGCTTTATCTTTATTTGTCTGTATGAAAATAAAAAGATGTGGTATGATTACAAATGAAACAAATTGAATTATCTACAAGACATGTTAGCAACTATATAAAAGTATAGGTTACCTTCAACAATGAGCACAACTCATACCGTATAGTAAACAATTCAAATGAGAAAACCAAAGGCCTGATTGGAGCTTCAACAATAAATGAAAACAAAAATGACTGACAACAACCAACGACAACCACTGAATCACAGGCTCCTGACTTTGGATTAAAAAAAATAATAATAAAAAGAAAAAAGACAAAGTATTGATCTAAGAGTACTCGCAGTGCTATACATTTTTTGCGCTCTTTTTTACACTGTGTTGTCTGTCTTTTTTCTCTCACTTTTTCCTCCTTAATTTTAATCACCCCCACCGTTTATGTTGAACAAAAAATCACTACTGGAAGATTTTAATTAACTATATATAATTCAGTTGCTTGCTTATAACTATGATGAAATCTTTTGGTGCTTTAAAAAAACCTCATGTTGACACTTTTATAAACCCGCTACATAACTGTAATTTAACTGCGTATTTTTAATAATCTTTTAAAAACAATAATGAAATTATTTAATATTCATATAATATATATATTCCATGATGATGCAGTTTATTGGTAAAACACATAAAGTCCGATTATATGTATTTATTGCTTTTGGATGAGGACTATGTTTAAACACTTATAGTCTTGTTAAATCTTTGTAAAATTCTGCTAAATGAATGCCTAATCACAACTATATGTCATGTAGATTGTTATAATTTTGATTACACACAAAACCTTATCATAGCATGAAAAGTATCCAAGGTTTGAAATTGTAAAAATCATGATAACACATGCGCATTTGCGAAAGTAACACACCGGAAGTGAAATCACTAAGTAATATGTCACTTTGATCTGGTGAGACGAAAACCAATATATACTGGTATCAGATAACTTTGCTTAATGACATTGTGTTAAGATTCTAATCAATCAGAATTCAAAGAATCATAATCAATGGAATGATTAGAAATGCAAATAAGTCCACCTAATAAGTAAATATGTATTGTAAAATGTAAATTAACATAACATTTTATGTTTTGCAAATCAAATTAATTTAATTCAGTTTATAAGATTAAGTAAAATTACTTAATATTTTGAATTCTGATATCAGTATAGTTTTGATTTTTGAAAATACACTTTAATTCTTAAGAGTAATATGTATTCTTCATAATGTAATTTGAAGTGAAAATTTACTTTTAATAAATTAAAGTATCAGATCTCTTTTATTCCGTTCACATTTTTAATATAGCTATGAGGGTCTGGATGGAGGGTTCTTCATTTCGGTATTCTTAATTTTTTAGTCCATTTTTCTCTATTCTTTATACCTTTTGCCTATTGTTCTGTATTCTTCATACTTTAGGACCTCATTATTCTCTATTTTTTTATTTTTTGGTCCATTTTTCTCTATTCTTTATATTTTTGCCCATTATTTTCTATTCTGTAAACCAACATCCACACCCACAGCTATAACAAATGAACATTGCACTTTTTAAGAAAGTATTAATTAAATTAATAAGTCATGAGCGTTAATTCTATCAATTAGATTTAAAAACTAAACGATAATACACCCTTTACCAATTGAAAATGTAAGTCTTCGGATATACATCACAAGTTTTTTAACTGTATTTTTTTTTCATGTGTGATAAGCAGTATTGATGATGAAACTACTAATAATGTCGAAAACTAACATTTGCTCCTTCTAACTATTTTCAAAAAACAGTATGTAAATCTATAAAAAAAATAGTACATGTGATTGAAGGACAGTTTTCAAACACTTTTATTCATATAAAATCATATTTTAGTATTTACGATGTATCATTCACACAAGCAAATCCTATTACTACATTATTGAACTCGGGTATAATAGAATATCAATTCATATATATTTCATGTAAATTTCTTGTTATCATAAAAATCCCAGGTAATAATTCTTCAGGTATTTGAAATTTACATTCATTGATCGACACGATTTGATCAATGATCGTTAAGTAACGAGGACTCCCGTTTGTCCCGCCTTTTATTAATGCACCATCGAACTTTTTTACTATTTCCGTTAAAATTAAAAAGTTTGAAAATCGAAATAAAAATTATTTTAATATACTGCTAAAGCTTATAAAAGTTTGTGTTAATTGAAAAGTATAATTGCGGCGACAATTAAAAGCAAAAGTAATTGACCTTTTTTACACGTGGTGATTTTGGTTGTACTTGTTTATAGTATTTCGTAACTGTGAAAAAAGAGAAAAGGTGCATTCATACAAGTGTTTATGGTATCTATCAACTATATAATTCCAATATAAGAAGAAAAAACTTACGATTATTTGTGCAGTTGGATTATTAAAAGGATATTACTTTTTAAAAAAATATTCGGAATTTCATATTGGGTAAGTCAAACTTTTAATAGACTTCTTGTTCATTTTATATATATAATTTGTATCCATTTTAAGTACCTCATTATTTTCAATTTTTGTTCAACTAATTTACTCTCCCAGCATATTTCGAGTAAATGCGAAGCTACAAATTGGAAGTTTTAACTGTATCAAATGACTGCTTGCCTGAAATGTAATGCATGGAAGACGAATTGATCGGTATACCTGTTTGGCGCTAATTTTTTTTACATAAATATTGATTGGAACCAATAAGCTAATTTTAATGACAAGCTTCTAATAACTGTATATGTACTCGATTTATCTTGACAATAGCTTTCTACATTGCGATACTTATGTCAATTATCTAATGGTGCGCTATTTTGGTTCTGAAAGTTTAATTGCCTTATGTGAACTACATTTGACTGAATTATTGGAAGATATATTTTTGTGATTGTAAACAGACAGTCATTGTGAATCTAAATATTGGTTTAACGAAGAAATCGAATGCAAAATATGAAAGTAAGCACATATGCAGTTCTTTATAAGTTTCAATTGATCGTCGAAACAAAAATCGATATGGTCATACCAAAAAAGTGGTTTTGTAGGAGGTTCGTGAGGTAGTGGTGATATATAATCTGTCTTACATGTTTTATGAAAAAAAAGACCGGAGAGAAAAAGATTTTGTTCATTTAAAGAATATTTTCTTAAAACATTGTACACTAGGGAGGCCGTATGATGACCTGTAATTCTTCACATATTCCAAACGTTCTTAAATACAACATCTCCTTATCTTCGAATTAATAGTCAACTATCTTACAGGTTGTACATTTCTATAACATAAAAAATGCAGCACATTACGATTTATGACTGCTGTTTATTTGTCATATGATATTTATCTGATGCATATCATTTTTTTTTGTATTAAGTCGAATTTGAAGAAAACCGGTTTTGTAAATTAGACATCTCGAGAAAACAAACGCATATTATTGGTTCCTTATAATCTAGGTAGGGCTATAGATACTACTCCGAACGTAACTGCGCAGTGTGCAGGCATGCATAATATATTAAATCATTGAATTGATTTTTAAACTACGTTATTAGCAAACAGTTGTAAATATGGTATATTAAAGTGGCCTTATAGTGTATCGAGTCCGCGTCAATCTTAAAAATTTAAGATTAGCGCCGAACGTACAATGGGTTACTTGTGCAAATTATAGCTATTCATATGAAATTCACAGAATCATCGGGTGTCCCCGTATACTAGATTTTGCTCTGAACTGACGTCCTTTTTGTTATTACTCCAATAGTAGAAATACACAACCGTATACCAAACTGTAAATTAACATACACATAATTTGTATTCTTCATTTAAGCGGTAATTGTATGTCTTTCTAAACTCATTCATCTTAAATCAAAACGATGATCAAGTCCACCCAGATATAATTGTTGACTATCGTCGCTACTTCTTCCTTTATTTTGAAAACTAAATTAAGTAAAGTAAGTAGCATGATTAACGATATATCTTTTGAACGTTAAACAAGCAGTTGCCAACAGCTAAATTTTCCATCCTATTTATTCAACGGTCACAGCATGGGACGGCCATTCCCGGTCTTTTTATTAAATTGTAACAACTGCACTAAAATGGGTAAATGTATTACTTTGAAGCATTTTGTATTACTTTAAAACATTTAGGAACTTCTTATGTTAATTTTATCACCAAACGACGGCACACACATAATTTATTTACGCAATAGAAAACAAGAGTTCATTATATAGATTGTTCGCTGAGTGTGTCAAACAGACATTTAATATAACGCAAAACCACAACGTTACATCATTTTAGTTGTTTAATCATCAATGTTTAAAATTAAAATGTTGGGATTTAAATAAAAACAATGTACAGTTAAGAGCAGAAAATAGGGACAGGGATTGAAATTAAAGGAACAAGTACGTAGTGTTTGTATTTTACCTGACCATCCCAGCGTTAGTACATTGAAATCACTAGTTATCAGATGAGTAATTCGTCTACAGAATTTACTGATTTAACCGCACAATCAGTGTATTGTCATACCGGCTCTAAAAAATGTTAGTGATAAAGATGTTTGTTGTTACATTGTTATTACTGACACCCTTAAATTTGGTCAATTTAAATAATTGTTCTTTTGATATTAAGTTATATGATATTTTCGTAATCTCAAATTGCATATACATATAACTTGAACAAATACACACAAATCAAATATTTAATTTGATTATGTTCTTGGACATATTTAAAAAAAAAAAGAGAAATAGCAACTTAGATTAAAAGATAATCAACTGAAAAATCTGTAAAATATTTTTCAAATCTATAACAAAGGCCAATGTACAAGCAATTTCTCTTATCTGATAACGAGGCTAAATTTGCTCAATGAATAGCATTGAAATTTTCAACAAATCTTAACCAGAATGAAACTATTTTAAGACACCTATACAAAAGAATCAATCGTTCGTAGATTTACCATTTCTAGTTAGTCATTCGTAGGTCTAAGATAAAAACTTTGTATGTAACGTTCTATTTTACAATTCGATTAATCATAGCATTACAACATGTTCATGTGCACGTATGGCACCATACCATTTAAGTACTTAGGCCGAATAATTGTTTGCATTGACATGAGGATATATAATACATGTACTAATGTATGATCTGGGGCCATATTGCAGATCGAAGTATTGTTTGCTGTTACCTCTTGATTATTTACGTATAATTTTTAAAAAATCACTATTAATTCCAAGGTTCAAACAAATACAGGAGACGTTGTTAGTTTATTTTCGACTTATGAGTTTGAATGTCCCTTTGGTATCTTTCGCCTCTCTTTTACCATTCTTTTGACTTTTCTTTTTAAATCCCCTCTATATAAAATTATCCCGATCTTTCGCCTTACTTTTAGCAGAACGTTTAAACGTTATGCATTTTTTCATATTTTTTTTTTTGGTTTTCAGACATACCACCTTATTGGTAGGTACATGTAGTTCGCTGGTTCTTGCTGGGGGTCATTATTGATCCCTGGCTTGAATGACGGATTACCTGAGTCTGTTGCATTTTTTTCATATTTGTTTTTATGAAATAGATAGCAAAATGTTTGTCCAACAAAAATTTAGTCGAAAAAGTCATCTGCAAGCACGTGCTATTGTAGCAATACTAGCATCGGAGTGGATTTAATATGAATAATAAAAAATGTGGGGGATACGTGGATGGGATTTCAATAAAATAACACAAATAACCAAAAGACATCAACGTCAAAATACAAATGTACTTAAATGAAAACCTTGCTCTTTCAAAAGATTGATTCTTATTAATAATAACATCAACATGAAAAAATCCACGTTTGCTTCCAATTTGTATACATGCACATTAATTTAATGTATTTAAAATAATAGTATGTTTGAAAGCACTAGACTGATCCAGTTACTTAACATATCACGGAAAAGAAACATGCCTTAGGACCTCGAGTATTATTTAATGAAACATACATTTGAACTGGTTGTATGAAAGCACGAAAGTTACTTGTTTTTATCTTCTCTACACATTGTTTTACAGAAACAATTGACTATATATCAATTCAATATTGTTTCAGACAGTGGTCTAATTAAGGCGCCACTTATCCAACAACCTTTGATACAAACTTTATCACATGTACCCAGTAAAAGCTTTAACCATTTGTTAACAAATCATTTAAGGTACGTTTAATTATCACAAACATAAATCTATACAAAACGATATGAGATGAATAAAATAATTGTAAATAAATATTAACCGAAAAAGGTGTGTTCTGATGTGAAATTTACTAAGTTGTGGTTGGTCGCAAGGTGCGAGATAAAATTTGAACTTTCAATGTGAGTCTAAATTGTATACAAGTTTCATGGAACATTCTTGATTTTCAAGGGTCTTTTTTATTTAAGTTTAGTTTTTTAAGGGGGGGGGTCTATGGAGGTTTTATTTTGCACTGGTATATTTCAAGTTTTGTGGTCCTTCATTACCTATTTATAATGAATGTAATTGTTATCGACTGTTAGACCAATGATTAAGATATATGAAAACACATATACAAAAGTTTCTGATGGGACGTCGTGGCTTCATGTGAGCTGTCTCTGCATGACCAATCTTCTCATTATCAATATAATGCTTGAATAAGCTGACCGACCGTATTTAAAAAAAACCCACAAAAAACAAGTTAAATTTGAACTTTCTAGTTGGGTTAAGTTTTTGTAATGCATGGTTTTTACAACATGTACAATTAGAACGTTCCGGCTGTTTTTTCCCCACCAGATCGAATGTGAAACGTTTGTTCAAGAGCTACATGTAGCTATAACATCTACGATTTTGGTAAAAAATAAATTCTTACTAAAACATTGTGCATTGATGAATGACTTAATCAATGCTACAGTCTAGGTATAATATACCATAGTTATACGATAATTTTAACGCATCTTTACTTCTGTTTTATAAATGCCAAGTCTTTCGCCTGTTTTTATACCTGTTCATCTCCAGCCTGACAGACTTTTAAATATTTTCCAATAAAGTTACCTACTTATCATTCAAAAGGCATTAACTTTGTGGGATGGAAAGCATATTCAAAATTTTCACATACTTTATTCGGCAAAATGTTGTTAACCGCTGCGCGGCTTATTATTATTGCAAGGCCTTTTGAACGTTTTTATCTCACGTATAATTAAATATTATCAATAGAGTTTATTGATTAGATAATAATATATCAAACACTTTGTGTGTGCATTATCTTCTTCGAAAGCAAACGTTTAGCTATGACTTTTAATAAGCGAATTGTTCCCTTGAATGTAACCATACAGTCAAAATAGACCGTATTGCTATTTAGTCCAATATGGAAAAAAACCCAGTTACTTTGAAAACTTTCTGTTGGGGTCAAGTATTACAAAAAGAAAGGTCAACATAATGAGCTGACAGAGGGAAAGGTACAGAAAGCGATCCTTTAAAAATTTTGATAGCTTATGAATTT